CACTTTTCAGAGTATCTTCTGACATCCATTTTGGTCTTTTCTTCCTCTTCTGTCTTTGCAATGACCGTTTGCACTCTTCCTGGATGATACCCTTCATATCCTCCCACAACTCATCTGGCCTTCGCTCATTAGTGTTCAAAGCCTCAAACCTGTTTCTGAGATGGTTCTGAAATTCAGGTGGGATAGACTCAAAGTCATATTATGGTTGCCTTGGATTTGGTTTAATTTTCCTCAGCTTCAGATTGAATTTATATATTTAGGTATTATTATCATGACAGGAGTCCAGAATGAAGGCTGCATAGGGGAGTGGACTTGGGGGGAGGGATTGTATAACAATGAAAGAATTTTTCTTTACTTTTCAAAGAGAAGAGGGAGTTGGGGGGAGGAGGAGTGAGCAGGGATAAAGTGCAACAATGAATGGATGGAAATCCAAGACTCTAAACCTTCATTAAAATTAATAAAAAATATTTAAAAAGAATTTATATATTAGGGAATGTATGCAGACGACACAACCCTGCTTGCTGAAACTGAGGAGGACCTGAAGCGCTTGCTGCAGAAGATCAAGGACTACAGCCTCCTATATGGACTGAAGCACAACATCAAGAAAACAAAGATTCTAACCACTGGGCCAATTGGCAGCATCAGTATGGATGGTGAAGAGATTGAGATAGTTAACAGTTTGAGTTTACTTGGTTCCACAGTCAACACTCTTGGTAACAGCAGCCAGGAAATCAAGAAATGAATTGCATTGGGAAAGTTGGCTGGGAGGGACCTCTCCAGAGTACTGAAGAGGAACAGTGTCAGAGTGGAGACTAAGGTGCCCCTGATCCAGCCTATAGTCTTCCCAATTACGTGCTATGCATCAGAGAGTTGGACAGTAACTAGGGTTGATAGAACGAGAATTGATGCCTTTGAGCTGTGGTGCTGGAGAAGAGTGTTGAAAATACCATGGACTGCTAGGAGAACAAACAGGTTTGTCCTGGAGAGGGTGAAGCCACAATGCTCCTTGGAGTCAAGGATTCTGAAGTTTCGTCTGACATATTTTGGACATGTTGCAAGGAGGGACTTGTCCTTGGAGAGGGAAATCATGTTTGGCAGAGTAGAGGGGTGGCGAAGGAGAGGAAGACCTTTGATGAGATGGATCGATTCTGTGACTGGAGAGGTGGGGATAAGTGCGTTTGAGATGGCTAGGTTGGCACAGGATAGAAGAGCGTATAGAGCTCTTGTACATAGGGTCGCTATGTGTCGCAAGCGACTTGATGGCACATAACAACAACAGTTTAGATATGTAACATTTTCTTCTCTAGCATTGCCTGTGGTGAATTTGGTTCAAATGAAATGAAATTACTTGAATTTATTCTGTTATAATTTACATACTTTTTGTGTCTTTTTTTCCTTTGAACACTTAACTGTCCTTTAAAACGTTCTAGGCATTGCTTTGTATATGGATCTACAGTGTGAAGTGTTTTCTTTCTTACCAGCTGGTATTTAGACATTCATCTTCAGTACTATAGTAGTACCATTTATATTGAGGTCATTACTGATGTCTAGCTTTTCAAATTTAGTAGGTGAATTCCTGGCTTTGTTTTGAATAGCCTCCAGCATCATTTGACTTTCTTACATAGTTGTTCCCTAAACATTTTATCTTTTGATCCCTTTTTAATTTTTATTTTTCTTAATGTTTTACTATTTTAAACCATATTAAATTTTATACATTTTTGCTATTAATTGTATTCTCATTACAATAGACTTAAAGATTTACGTTAAAGATATTCTCTGCTCTGTTTTCCTCTTTCTGGAATATTTTATAGCAAAGCTGTATGTATTACATATTTTATTAATATAATTTAGAGAATGAAGCTCTTCCTAATTATTAAATACCATATGTATAAGAAGTAGTTAAACATCTATTTCTATATCTCAAATATAAAAGCAATTGCATCAATCCTCTACTCTTATTTAATATGGGATACTATATTAAATGTATTTAGTAAGATAAACGGATTAAATTATAATTACCCTATGATGACCCCACCGGGTAATTGGCAGGTGAGAATATCTACAAAATTATTTACTAATTGTAAAAATTTGAACATTTAAAAAGATATTTATTTAATATCATTTACTTTCTTATTTACATTTTAGAATGCCTTTTTCTCTATTGTCTTACAGCACAGTAAGTGTCTATGAAAAAGTCAAAGCACATTGCAACTGAGTAAAAAATCAACTCATAACAGACTCTCCATGCTGTTTCCTAGGCTGTGACTCACATGAGAGGTTTTCAATCTTTTTGCCATAAAACCACTGGTGAATTCAAACTATCAATTCAAATATGTCATAACACATGACATACTTATGAAGAAAAGATGACTGCAAAACTCTTTTGATTTCAGGCTGGACAACAGCGTTGGTGGGAGCAGGAGATTAAAATAAATGGGAATATCCAAAAGGGAGAATTAATTACATATAACTTGACTGAACTAATTAAACCAGAAGCTTATGAAGTCCGACTAACTCCTCTCACCAAATTTGGAGAAGGAGATTCAACAATTCGTGTCATAAAATATAGTGGTAAGTAGCCCTTTATTTAATATCTTTATTCACATCTTAAAGTGACTAGTTCATGTAGTTTTTAATTATCTAAAAAATTTGGCATATTTACTCTTCTGGATCAATCATATGACAAACCACTCCACACCTTATTATTCATATTAAATTATATAGAGACAGAGGAAAAGATTTTAGTTCATATCAGGCCTAAGTTTAATGCCATCAATGTCTCTTTTCTGAGAAATAAATATTATATTTAGTTCGAAGTTTCTTTAATGATAATGACTTACATTCTTAGGCATGTTTATTAGCATCTTAAACATTTTAATTAAAAAATAATATTATTTATATTTGAACCAAGTACACTTTAGTAGTGTAAACACTTTTATAAGAATGAAAAAGCAAGTTAAGGTGAAAAAAATCATCTCACTGAAATATTTAGAACTTAGCATAACAATTTTTGAAAGGTTTATGTTCATTTTGATAAATTTTGGCATTGAAACTTTACAGAAGCAGAATCAATTAATATTCATTATGTTCAGAAGTTATGTAAAATACTTTCTGTTGTACAGCTGATAAATTCATCATATCTTTTATCTATTATTAATTTCGTAATTTGAAATGGTAAATTAGGAATCATAGAAATAAAGAACATAATGAGAATAGTAAAAATTCTGTTTATAGAAGTAGTATAAATAATTTAGAAAGTAATATTTTTTCAGTCTACTAATATTAAAATTACATATCAGCATGCTTTAAATATGTATATTCAATTTGTCTTTTTATTATAATTGAACTGAAATAGCTAAGTATCAAAAAAAAGTGTTCAATGGAAAACACTAGAAATTACCGAATTGTCCCTCAACTCTCTAAGGTAGAATAGCTAACTACTCATTATAGTCTTAGGAAACTGCAAAAATACTCCCCTTCATCTAGCATGGCAATTTTTCCTTGAGTAATAAATGTCTAGTTGTTATATACAGATATAATTTTTGCCACTGAGGAGATATATATGTATATATTTCTCTCTAGATTGAAATTAATTGGCATTTTGTATTGTAAACACAATTCATTTTCTGACATAAATAATTCTCTTGTGCACAGAAACATTTTGGTTCTCATTTAAAAATGGTATATGTTGCACAATTGTGTGTTAATATAATTAAATTTAACAGTGAATTAAAGTGGTTATTTGCTTTATGAAACATTATAACAATATGTATTTTCATTTATTTTCACATATGCCAAATTAGTCTAACAGAAAGATATAACAGAAAAATACTAAAGCATATTCTCTCATAGATAAATGTTTTCGCTGTTAAAACATCTCGATTATAAGTTAGTATACTATCAACCACCAATTTTTTTTCCCTGGATTTTTGGTTAAAATTGGTTAAAATATCTATTCCTTAGAAAATGAACCCAGCCCTAATACTGTTTAGCGCTAATCTTTTAGATAGCTTACGATTCTTTTTGCTGAGCTCTAAAGTAGATTCTATTCAATCCTTAGAAGAAAATATGGATTGCAAATATACATAGCCACAGAAGGGAATATCGGTAAATTTGGGAAAGGAATTATGAGACACTGATTAGATTTTATTTATAAAATATATTTAAGGTGTACTAACTTTGCCTTTTGCTTTTCTTATAGCTCCTGTAAATCCTCATTTGAGTAAGTATTTTTCACTTTAAAGATGAAACTGCATTTTACAACTAAGGAAAATGTAAAACTGTATAAATATATACATATTGTTTAACAACTACTTTTATTTGGTTTAAAATAGAATAGATCAGAATCAGAAATAGTAGAACCAAATATAAATTTTAAGTTTCAAAAGATACAAATATGAAGGCATCTAAAATGGAACTTAAATTTATAAGTTTTCCTAAATATGGAATTATGGTACCATTTCTCCCCAGCCAGTTTGATTGTTGTTGTTTGTTAACTGTGGGACTAATTTTTATTTATGGGATTGAAGATTATTATTTTGCTTCATTGTGAATCACTCACTGACTCATTCTTTGCCATTGAGTCAGAACATTATCTCTCACCCAGTGGGTTTTAAGAGCCTGTAAATTGTGAAGCATCTGGTGGATTTAAACCACATGCCTTTGGTTTGGCAGTGCAACTCCCTATCCGCTGGGTCCACAGAGCTACCCAATAATGGTATAGAACTTTATTATTTACATAGTGTTTTCATGCACAATAGATGTTTTACTTCTTGTGCCCAAACAAATAAACAAACCCTCACATTTTTGTGTAGTTGATTTCACAATGAATGATGATTCCAACTGTTGCAGAAGATAACTGTTCAGTAGGATTTTCCTGGCTATCATCTTACAGGAGCAGGTCACCGATTTTTTTAGATGTGGTCTCTCTAAATGTATTTGAACTACAAACCTTTAGATTAGTAGCTGAGTGCAAATGGTTGATCCACAGATGACCTTTTAGTCATTACAGAAACCCTTTAACAAAGATAATATTGTTATCCTCATGGCAATGTGAAGAACATTTGAGGGAAAGTTTCCTTAAGCTTTAGCTCAAGCATTTCTTCTATTCTAACTATTCCTTCTATTTCCCATAAAAAATTTATCTTCATCTTTTAAAATTATTTTAGTATTCCTTACACTCTCCAGGGGACTCGAAGATCATAATAAGCTAAATTTGTGTCCATATTACTCTTAAATGCTACTATCTTTGTGTCTAGCACAGCATTTCATAGTTAGCAGTGCTCAATAATGATTTGTTAAATGAATAAATAAATGACACTTTCAAGACGAATTAATTGCATAAATCAGATTTTCTCTGCCTTATGCCCAGGGAGTTATTGATATTTAATTACTATTATTGATTACACTTCCTTTGGATGTAAATTCTCTGACTTTATTGTAGAAATGTTTAAAAGATGTCACAGGAAGATTAAGGAAAGATAGAGGACAAGACTAACCACTAAATATATTAGTTCGTGAACAAAGCTTCTACCTCTTAAAAAGCAAATCCAAAAAACCATTGCTATCAAATAGATCCTGACTCATACCAACTCCATTGTTGTTGTTGTTGAGTGCCATCAAGTCAGAACAACCCATAGCTGACCCTCCAGCAGGTTTTCAGAGACATTCAATCACTTGGGAAGAGATTGTCCATCCTTGTCCCACAGAGCAGCTGGTGGATTTGAACTTGCTTGCCTCTGGGATTTCAGCACAGCTTCTTATGCTTATGTTGCCCTGGGGTTTCTAATGCTATAATATTTATGGAAACAGTATGCCACATCTGTCATAGAGGGGCTGGTAGGTTTGACTCACCAACTTTCCCAGTGATCTTTCTATATCTTTGCTGTTTAGTTGTGTTGAATTCACGCTAACCCTCCAGAAGATGTCCAAGGCAATATATACATCACACAGGCGGAGACTCTGTTTCTTTCTCCCTTGGACTTGATGTTATGTATAACAGAGCTGGCACTGACATGGAGCTGACCCACCAGTGGGTTTTTAGAGACAATAAATCACATGATAGAACATTTCTCATCTTTGTCCTGCAAAGCAGCAGGTGGATTAGAAATGTATGCCGTCGAGTTGGCAGCACAGCTTTTTATCACTAGACCAACGGAGCCCTCTTTTGTGGAATATTCAAGTGTTTTATCCACAGCACCACTGGGGCTTCTTTGAAGGGAAGATGTGTGTGTGTGTGTGTGTGTGTGTGTGTGTGTGTGTGTGTGTGTGTTGTTTACTATAGTCAAAACTGACCCATAGCTGACCCTCTGATGGATTTTCAGAGGCAGTTAATCACATGGAAGGAGATTTCCAGCCATTGGAATGAAGTCATGTTTATTGAGTAACTGACCATATAGCATTTTGTGGTTGAACTAATATATTTTAAAGTTACCCAAGTTAAATATGCTTTAAATACAGTTAATGCAAACCAAACCCCACAACCTTGAGTCTGTTTGATACATGGCAACTATCCATCAGATTTCTGAGCCTATGGAGATCAGAAAACCAGAGTAGTTGTTATGTAGCTTCAATTGAGCACAGACTCATAGCTGCCCCTCCGACAGGGTTTCAGAGGCAGCAGATCACACAGAGAGGAGATTGCCCATCTTTCTCCTGCAAAGCAGCTACTGGATATGAATTGTGTGCCTTGTATAAGAGTAAATTGATGGTTAATACTAATTAAATTTGGATTGCTTCTTTAAAGCTTGGGTTTCATTTAGGAAGAAATGGATCTTGCATTTACTTTTTTTTTTGTACTCCTGGATCTTGCAATTATTTTATTGTCAGTTATCAAAGAATAACAAATGTCAAATATTTTTACATGCTAGCCTTGGAAATAGATATTTTGATGGGAAATCTGTATGGTCAGAAAAAGACCCTCTAGAAGATGGATTGCACAGTATCTGGAGTATTGGGCTCCAGCGTATCAGAGGTTTTGAGAATGGTGAAGGATATAGCAAGATTCATCTCTATTGGTCATGGAGCCACTCTTTAAGTCATAGTCAACTTATAGGCACACAACAACAACAACAGTTACTTCTCTATCTCATTAGTCTTCTTTCAGCTAACCAGTAAATGAACTGAAATTTTGTATTTTAAAATAATTTTCAGTATTATATAATGTTCAAAGAATTCCATTGGCTGCATGCTCTTTTTCTTTTAATGAATATTTGCTGTGATAGATTCAGAAACTCTTGTTCAGAATAAAGATTTTATAGTAATCATGCAATTTCTTGTATAAATGAGGGTAATTACCTTTATCTTACTATTACATGTCTTTCCCCCTTTATTAATTTATTGAACTCATATTGTCTCAAAGTCTGACAAATATTTTTATCCCACAGTCTTTCCTTATAGGTTCTTCTTGTTGTTGCTGTTATGTGCCATTGGGTCACCTGCGTCTCATAGCAATCCTATGTACAACAGCCCTAAGCCGTGCTCTATCCTGTGCCAATCTTATTGTCTCTGACACACCTACCCACATTACCCCAGTCACTGAATCAATCCATCTCATAAAGGGTCTTCCTCTCCTGTGCTGTCCATTCACCCTCCCAAGCATGAAGTCCCTGTCCAAGGACTGGTCCCTCCTTGCAACATGTTCATAGCATGTCAGACAAAGCTTCAGAAAGAATCCTTTCCTCCAAGGAGCAGCTTGGTTTAACCCTTTCCAGGACTAAACTGTTATAGCTACTAATAATCTAGGTAGTGACAGTTATATATTTTCCCCCCTTATTGATTAATTGAACTCATATTTTGCCTCAAAGTTTGACAAATATTTTTATCCAACAGTCCTTCCTTATAGATTTTAACAATTAATAATCTAGTTTGATAAAAACCAAAACAAAACAACTCAACATTGTATCCCTGGTCTCCACTTAATTTTAGCCCTCAAGATATATAATGGGGCACTCTGATGGTGTAATGCACAGGGCATTATGCTGCTAACCCAACTGCAGTTCTTCTCTGGGGATCTGAATTCTGCAGCAGCTCCACAAGAAAGACTAGTAATCTCCTCATGTGCAAGTTACAGCATCAGAAACCCCCTGGAAGCGTCAGATATAACTCCATTCTGACCTGTGGCAGTGAGTTTAAGGGCTTTTTGTTTGTTTTGGTTTTGTTTGTTGGTTGTTTTTAAATCTATCCAGTTTATTAGCAGCCAGAATCTGTAAGGATTGGCTTTGCTGGATAAAGCCTACTCCACAGGGTATTTCACTACTAACACAAAGGCTTCCAGAGCTCATACTGAGGAGATATTCTTAAAAAAATAAAAGATGGAGAATAGATGTATATGCAAAATAAATGTGACTTGTTTTCTAGATTTTCAGGATACAGTTCACTGTTTTCTCTTAGTTATCTAGTGTTCTTAAGGGCTGTTATAGTTTTCTATTATTTGTCATAGTTTATTAAGGTACTAGCTATATATAATGTGCTATTATACCTTTATAATTATAATACCTTTATAGTATAATGTACTATTATACCTTTATTAAGGTATAAATTATATATATAGTAAAATGTATGTGTAATATACTATACCCTTTATATATGTATATGTATATATATACATCTATATATATGTTGCTATGTGAGAAATGTTGATATATTCATAGTCACCTCAGAATTCCACCACTTACTACAACTTACCATACAACTTGAAGTTAAACTTCTCTTCATCTCAGCCCCTGTAAAACCTATGTATCATTTGAACAGCTTCACTATAATAATTTAATTAATCATGATATCTGAAGTATTTTTTTATTCTCCATAGAGAAAATTCTCTCACAACAGTCTCCAGAAAATCCATTTTTCATTCAAACCCTTTTACTATAGCATTTTGATTAGTCATGATACACAGCATGTTTATTTTTAAGTTCTCCGTATTATAGATAACATAAATAGAATATTATATCTACATATTCATATTGTTAGTGATGTTGAAGAAAAAGTACAAATTGAGCAACAAAAATCTAAATTAGAAAAAAACATGATAAAAGATGCTAAAAGCTCCTTTTATAATTCTGAGTAACTTTTTTAAATGAGTATTGATACAAAGTTTAAAATCTTCTGAATACTGACTTAATTACAAAATATAATTTGTATGAAATGTTCCAATGAGAAAATATTGATTATATGAACATTATATTAAATGTAGATTATATTTAATACAATAATAAATGTTGT